ACAAAATGATGGAAACTTGGAGATGTAATTGACTAGAATCATTTCATTTGTTCATTTGCTCATTGTTTCATTGGTTCATTATAAAAATCTTATAAGACATGTACCGGAGAGAGGCTATTTCAATCCACTTGCACATAGCCAACTGTTGGGGCTCAGGGCAGGCCATGCCAAAATATGCTTCAATGGCATATTAATTATTTTGAATTGGTTACTTAAGAGAGAGCCATTGTAAGAGGGACACTCTGACCCTCCGCTCTGTCTCCTTGAAAGTAGGAAATAAATCTCTCATGAAAGGTGCACTCCTTGCATCTGAAGGTAGGACACCCTGATTTCCAGAGATACGGGATTTGGGGCGAGAAACTTATATAAACAAAACTTGTTACTCCTTTAGTTTACCATCCCAAACTCAAACTCTGCTTAGATTCTTCACTAATTAAGCACCCAAAGCCTAATTTTCTTTGTCCTGTGAATTCCTCACAAATTTATTGTTTGTTTGTCTAAAAAGTATAAAAGCTGCCTGCTTTGGCCACTTCCTAGGTCCCATGACTGTGGGACCTCCATGTGCATAAGTTAAAGTTTGTTTCTTTTTCTCCTGTTAATCTGTCTTGTGTAGTAGTCCAGCCACAGAACTCAAGAGAGATAGAGGGGAAATCTGCCCTTCCCCAACACAACCTATCAAAATGACTAATGATTTCCACGTCTTCTTAAAGCATGCAGGTTGATGCCCAGGGCTTGTTGAAAGAATATCAGAATGTCATTAATAAACTACTCCTGCACCTACCAGTAGAGTTTCATGATAATCAAGAGACAAGTGTGTGTATTTCTCAACCTGTTTTTGCCAGTTCTTTCACAGTAAATTATGTGATTTAATTAAAATGGTACAAACAGTTGTTATGTCTATGAATACTAGGTTGAATGTTCTCAAAAGACTCGAGAATTAAAAAGAATTAGTAATATCTTAGATAAGGACAAGACAACCATGAACACTGGGAGACACTTTAAAAATATAGATGGGCGGCTTCCTTGGTGGTGCAGTGGTTAAGAATCCCCCTGCCAATGCAGGCGACACGGGTTCAAGCCCTGGTCCGGGAAGATCCCACATGCCGCGGAGCAACTACGCCCATGAGCCACAACTACTGAAGTCCATGCGCCTAGAGCCCTTGCTCCGCAACAAGAGAAGTCACTGCAATGAGAAGTCTGCACACTGCAACAAAGAGTAGCCCCCACTCGCTGCAATTAGAGAAAGCCTGCACTCAGCAGTGAGGACCCAATGCAGCCAAAAATAAATAGAAATAAATTTAAAAAATATATATATAGATGAATTTTCACTTAGTTTTATCTCAAACTGAAAATTATAGGCAGTGATTCATAGGTATTATTAATGCCAGAAGATAACACAAAATTCCAAACAGTAGGTTCCATAGAGACTCGGATCTTGTAGGGAAGCACAATTTGCCACCCCAAATATCTCTTTGGCATAAGGATTATTTTAGGCTGATTATTTTTAAGAAACAGAAGACTCAGTAAGTCTGTGTTTTTACCTCCCCATTAGCTGCCTAAAGAATTCAGATAAAGGACCTATTCCTAGAATAGAGGTATCTCCAGAAATATCTGCAAAGAAAATGGACTAGTTGTGTTGGAGGAAACTCAGCAGAGCCTAGACATCAAAGTCCACTCTGTGTCCCAATGCCCCTTCATGGCCCAGCAAACATCTGCTTTTGCATCTCCAGGTGAATTGCTTTCCTCCCCTTTGAAGTCCCAAACCACTACGCCCAACATCTTCTTTTGTCTTTAGCTGAATCTTTTGTCTTTAGCTGAAGATCGTATTTAAGGTGAAAGCTTCAGCCATTTTGGCGAGTTACTCAGTTTTCCTGGGTCTCTCCCAAGTACACATGTTATTAAACTTTTGTTTGTTTTTCTCCTGTGAATCTATCTCAGGTCACCAGCCAGAAGAACCTAGAAGGGAAGAGGAAACTTTCCTCCCCAACAAATTGATGAATTAACATATAAATACTTTATGTCATAATACAATGTTTAAGGTAAAATGCATTGTTTTATGATTTCCTACTTTATCCAACTTTTTCTAGTAACCAACAAACTATATGTCCCAGTATAATGTAGGTTAAGTAAAATAAAGTCTCCTGATCTGTAAAATGAAGAAGGTAATTCTTACTTATAAGGCTGTTTTGAGGGCTAAATAAAATCATCCATATAAAAGAATACCTGTCACCTAGTAAGCACACATTACCCACTAGCTAACACGGCATGCTGGTGGGGGTGGTAACATAACAGTAGTGGCATGAGGGACCAGTCTGCCTGGATTCACATCCCAGCTCAATTACCAGCTCTGTGATCTTAGAGGAAGTTACCTAACCTCTCTGTACCTTAAATCCATCATCAGTAAAATGTACATAATAACAGCTCCACCACCATTGGGTTATTGTGAGGATCCAACGAATCAACTAATGTGAAGTGCCTAAGACATAATATATGCTTAACGTAACACATTTTAGTCACTGTTATTTTGTATATTATTGGCTTTTCTTTTCAGCTAGATAGAAAATTGCCCTCTCTCAAAGCATCCAAATATTTGTTATCATTCCTTTGGCTCTAGGCTTCTCACCTTCTAAAATGAACACAGGACTCAATTTATTTTAGTACAGACAGATCACTAGTGCCATCTAGTGGCAAACTGCTAATAAATTTAACAAAAAGGAATATTGCCCATAAAGGGGTAAAATTTCTACAGACATGAATTTAATTTTTGAAGACAAACTAGATATTTGGAAATGTGATATGTTTTCTATAATGATTTGAATGTAATACAAATATAAGCGGGGGAAATTTAAAAACTGCACACCACAAGAAGATTGCTTGGCAAACACAGTACAAAAAAAAAAAAAAGATTCTTGCTTTGCATGAGCCAAACAACTGCGTTTAAACCCAATGTCAAAAATTTTGGACAGGGCTTCCCTGGTGGCGCAGTGGTTGGCAGTCCGCCTGCCGATGCAGGGGACACAGGTTTGTGCCCCGGTCCGGGAAGATCCCACATGCCGCGGAGTGGCTGGCCCCGTGGGCCACGGCCGCTGAGCCTGCGCGTCCGGAGTCTGTGCTCCGCAACGGGAGAGGCCACAACAGTGAGAGGCCCGCGTAGGGCAAAAAAACAAACAAACAAAAAAAAAAAACAGATTTGTGATGTTAATATACCCCTGATATTTTCTAGACCTTAATTTCCTATGATATCAAATGAGTATGCTATATGTGTTGAATTCGTTTTGTAGTTATAAAAGTAAGGGATAAATCACTATGCTAATTTTAACATGATGAATCTATAGTATTATCTGTCAGAAGCATTTTGAGGGGAACCCTGATAACTTCTAACATCCTTTCCAACATTCTGATTTTTTTAAATGCAGCCATATTGGAGGAAAAGAATTAGAAATGTGAATTTTGGGTGTAATTTAAATACCATAAATGTTATAACATATACTAAGATATTAAGTTATATCATTGGATAAGTTAAAAATTAATACCATACAAAGATCCCAGGTGATAACATCATACAGCTTTACTTTCTGCAAGTCAGAACTTACAGAAGAACTCAAAACTGCACAAAACTACTGTAATCTATAATATTCAGGCAGTCCTTGCCTTGCTCATTGAAATATGTACAAATTTCAGAGCCACAATTTAGTCAAATAACAGCAGCCTTCCAACAACACAGTTCAAATTTCAGTTATCATGGCATATTAACTGTGACTAATTATATAAGAGCTGCTAGCTCTTTGGTCCAAAAATCACTATGTAAATAACAGATGAGCATCATGATCAGTGACTAACATGTCACTTCTTTCAAAGTCTGTCAGTGCTTGGTCACTGCACATCTGTTATTCAGTTCAAACGCAGACAGCAAATCATGTTGCTTCCTTGTGTTCCAGTGATAAACTCACTTGACATTTCACAAAAGTGAGTAATCAAAAGAGGCTATTAGCCCATAAAGATGAAAGTGCAACAAAGAAATAAAACGTGATGATGCTGGAAATGAAATTGGATGTGAATAGAAGATCTGAAGATGGTGACAGCAAAGCAAGGATAGAAGAGACCTAGGCCAGCAAGAAGGTAAGAGCCATGAATGTAAAAAACAAGATAAAGTCGCTTCAACAGGATTCTAACTGAATGTAAATGGGTTGTACGAGAAATAGGGGATGACCCTGGAATGTTGACACCGTGCCCTTTGGAGCAATGTAGCTATGCAGCCATAAGAACTTAGTGAAGGCAAACTGATCAAAATAAATGAGGAACGTGATTGTGACAAAAAGGATGACAATGCCCCAGAGGAAGTGACACCAGAACAAAACTTCACATTAAAGAAACTCTCAGAGATATCTCATGACTTTGAAAGGACAAAGGACAAAATGGAAGTTGATCCAAACTTAAAAAGAATTTGACAGTTCAATTCACCAAGGCATAGAAAAGATGCCTGCTCCATATAATAAGTCGTATGATGAGAAGAAGGCAAGTAACTGTTCAAACTCCTCTTGACAAGATTTTGGCAATGAAGTAATACTTTAATTCTCAATGTTTCTAATGTTTTAAATTACAGTGTACTGAATAAATATTAATTTTACTATTTTTCATTTCCTTATATATTTATAAACCACAGTAAGAGAGTTTTTAGTGTTTTGAGAAAACATTTTAAAGGTCACAGAACAATTGTTATTCTCTTATTGATTTGCTTTGTCCAGTTTCAACTTAGTCATTTTCATGGTTTTGCACTATTGTGCAGAACAAGAACTGGATGTATTGCCAAAGCCTAAATTTTTCTTTCACAGTTTTCAGTCATTGTAAACGTATTCAGAAATTGCCACCTACTGCATGCTAATATAATAGCTAGTCCCCTTCTGAACATATTTTATAAATTATTTGCAGTGTCATGATATAATGTTGAAAAGATGTCCTTGCTCCTAACCAAACCAGGCATATAGAAGAGCATTATGTACCTGGCAGTGGCAACTGAACTAATATACCACTGACTCTTGGGTCCATGTTCAATTGATTGGTTATATCCAAAAGTTCTTCCTGAGAAACATCCTTAGGTTTTAGAATGATCTCACTACAGATACCTGGAAGAAAAACAAGTACAGAAAGTCACTTTAACAAAGATGTGTTTTTTCATTGATGGTGTCTTACACAATGTGTGATTGGTTCCCTCTGCTCCTATCCCACTAGAAGAAAAGGCCCTTCTACAAAAATGATGTTCTAAGCACCATCAGGAGGGAATTTTCAAATAGTACAGATGCTTTCTCGTGATTCACATGCATTCTTTGGCCCAGTAACCCATTTAGCAAATCACGCTCATCTGTGATAAGCTACTGTTAGTGGATTTGAAGAGAGTAAGAATACCAATACCACCACCATCACTATTAGGCCAAGTTCGGCTGAGTGAACTAGCCAGGTTTATCACGTGATTAAAGCAAAAAAACAGGCCCTTTAAATGTAACATGTTGCTCTCACATCTCACCATAAGATCTGAAATCACACTGAATTGATTCAATAAGAAATTTGAAGAAAAAGAGTAAGAAATGAATATAAACTTCGGTAACTAAATAATCTATAATAAATAATAATAATAATACATGTCATTCAAATAGCACTTAGTTGACAATTATCATTCATAATTATCACACTTTGAAGTAAAACCAGAAAACGTTATCTAGTAACAAGTACAACTAAAACACGTCCCCACCTACGGCAGCAGCAGCTTTGATCTTCTTCCTGACGTATGTGTGGCTTGCTGGGTTATCACCCACTAAAATGATACTGAGGTGAGGTCTTCCATTCCCAAGAGAAATCCAAGATTCCACACCTCGCTGTATTTCTTTCTGGATTTGTTTGGCCATTTCAGTTCCTGAGATAATAATTGCGTCATGTCTGTGGAAAACAAAGGAATAAACGTAGTACTAAAAAGGCAATAAGGAATATTCAACCACATAAATTTAAAGTACAAGAGTGAACAAAACATTTATGATTCCCCAAGTGAGCAACCAAAATTTGATTTCTTTCAGGTATATTTAACACTCATTCTTCAGGTTCAAAAATATATTTATAATTTTTTAAAGGAGTCCAACTCTGCTTTTTAGTTCTGCATTACAATCTATAGTATACATAACTTTTACATATATATATTTCAATTATCAAACCACATACTAAAGTTCTAGAATATTGGCTCTATAATATTGGCTGTATTAAAAGCTCTGCTATTTTTTTCAGAAGAGACAGATCAGCACAGTCTAGTTAAAACTAGCACCCATCTTCAAAGCTCCAGGCCATGGTGTATATACGTGGCCCCATAGCCTTTTGACCCAAAGGCAAAGTCAGTTCACTCTTAATAGAATATCCTGTACAAGACCCTGAAGTCATGAGCTCCGTACTACACAACTCTTCTCACTTACTAAAGGACACATTTTATCCCTCAGGTCCAGGACAAGGACAACTGTGATGACAGCTGCCAGTCTTGCCATGCTCGTCATTGATTACTGTGGGGACCAGGCCAGTAAGTAAGGCTCAGTTGCCCCCCTACCCAAACACCCACACCATGGCATCATTTCTAATAGAAAAACTGCACAAAACATTACTTCCTGGCAGTTTTTAAGTGCTTAAGTAGGTAAGAAGTACTATACTTTGATAGATGACATAAATCTATCTCTGGAAAGGCACAAAAAATGCCTTATGGGAAGGTTTTCCTGCTCTCCATGATCTCAAACTTAAAAGCGGTGAATTAATGTTGCTCCTACTGCATGTTTAGTTTTTAAAGGTACCTGATAAAGTAAAAGATGGTTCCTTCTTCCTGGGGCCCCTGTCCTTTCACTATTGAAAGGCCTGGTGAAAGCATGATCTATAGCACATGAATATTACACAAAATATCAAAAGCAGGTCAATGAATATTGTGAAGGAGAAGAAAAGGAGGAAAGAAAAACCTTATAGCAACTTAATTTTTTCAAGCACCTGTACATTTTCTATGTTCTGGTGAGAGCAGTTATCATGAATATCAGCCAGCACAAACAAAATGCAAACTTGCTGCCCCTTCCAAATAAGTCAACCCCCCTCTCTAATAGGTTGATGTACACTTACATAGACCAGATCAAGAATATTCCATATCAACCTGGCACCAGTGGTCCACAGAGTTCATCCAGATTCAAACAATTCTGATGTAAACAATGTTCTGCTAAGAAGTGATTCTGAAATATGGTCTATGGATACATACGTCAAAATTGCCTGGGAACCTTACTGAACTTGCATATTCCTAGACCCCAAGACCACACCCATGATTTGGAATCCCTGGGAGAGGGGAGAGAGCCTGGGAATCTGCACATCTAACGGGTCCCCACAGGTATTCTTGCGCATGATCGTGTTTGAAAACCACTTCTTCAGTTCAACACAAAAGTATATTTCAATAATAATCATAACCATGGGTAAACAATTAACTGAGCAAATACACATTGGTTAGATAATACAATTATAAGTAAACTCTACTTTTGATTCTAATTTTGTCTACTTTCCACTTTCAAGACATGGAAGGTCATGGTAAATGCAGTGTATCAATCTTGCTCCACTGTCTTAATTTTGTAATAGTTTTATTACAGTATAATTGATATACAATAAACTGCATATATTTAAAGCGAAAAGTTTGACGTTTTAGTATATGTGTATATCTGAGAAACCATCACCACAATCAAGAAAATGAAAATATCCATCCCCCTCAGAAGTTTCCTGGTAACCCTTTGTAATCTCACCATTCTATCTGTCCCTGCCATGCCTCCAGACAAATTGGTCTGCTTTCTGTCACTATATATTAGTTGGTATTATCACGAGTTTTATAAAAATGGAATCACGCACTACATGCTCCTTCTCATCTAGCTACTTTCACTTAGCATAATTAAAATTCATTCATGCTGTTGTATGTATCAATAGTGCATCTCCTTTTATTGCTGAGTTTTCCATTGTAAGGATATATCAAATTGTGTATATCCATTTAATTGTTGATGGATATACATGTGTTGTTTCCAGTTTTTAGTCATGACAAATAAAGCTGCTACAATCATTCATGTACAAGTCACTGTATGCACATATACTTTCATGTCTCGAGCAAATATCTAGGACTAGAATGGCTGGATCATATGGTATATGTTTAAATGTGTAAGAAACTGTCAATCCGCTTTCCAAACTGGTTGTACCATTCTACATTTCTGCAAGAAGTATATGTGAGTTCCAGTTGTTCCACATACTTGCTATCCCTTGATATGGTCGGTCTTTTAAATTTTAGATATTCTAGTGGATATATGATAGTATCTGACTGTGCTTTTAATTTGCATTCCCCTAATGAATGATGATGTTGAGCATTTTTTTTATGTGCATATTTTTTTCATATGCCTATCTTCTTTGGTGAATTGTGTAATTTAATTTTTTGCCCTTTGTTTAATAGGTCTTTTCCTTATTGAGTTTTGAGAGTTCTTCATATATCCTAGATTCAAGTCCTTTATCAGATATATAATTTGAAATACTTTCTCCAAGTCTATGCTTTACCTTTTCATTCTCTTAACTGTGTCTTTGTGTGATAAGTTCTCAATTTTGATGTATTTTAATCAATTTTCCATTTATGGATCATGCTTGTGGTATTGTGCGTAAGAAATATTTGCTTAACTCAAGGTAACAAAGGTTTTCTCCCATGTTTCCTTCTAGAAGTTTTATGGGTTTAGGTTATGCATTTAGTTTTATGGCTTAGTTCTATCTTAGTTTGAAGAGACTTTATATCAGGATACTGCTGAATGCTTTTTCTGTGTCAATTGAGATGATCATATGATCAAATGGTTTTTTTGGTTTTAGACTCTTAATATGGTAAATAACATTAATTTTCAAATGTTAAACCAACCTTGCATTCCTGGGATAAACCTCCCACATATCCTTTCCAGATATTGTGGATTTCATCAATTTTTTAAAAAATTTTGCAGCTATATACATAGCAGATATTTGTAGTTTTCTTTCCTTGTACTGTCTTTGTATGCTTTTGGTATATGGTTACTGCCCTCATAGAATGAGTTAGGAAGTATTCCATCCTCTTCACATTTCCAGAAGAGTTTGTATAGAATCGGTATTATTTCTTCCTTAAATGTTTGTAGAATTCACTTGTGAAGCCATCTGGTCCTGGAGCTTTCTTTGTGGTGAGGTTTAAAACTCCAAATTTAATTTTTTTAATACAAAGAGGGCTCTTCAGGTTACCTAGCATTTCTTGAGTGAGCTTTTGTAATTTGTGTCTTTGTACCTTCTAATAATTAGTACATAATTATTAGACTAAATCAAGTTAAGATAAAATACATTCACTTTTGAGTTTAAATTTTATTTTTCAGGATTAAATAATGAACTGTTTTCACTATCTACTTTGAATTCCTGTTGCTCATTTGTGATTCATTCATTTAAGTGGACTTTTAATACTAAGAAAACAAGGACCTCCTATGTTAACAAGTACTAAGGGCTGCAGATATGGCAAACAATTTCAGGTAGTAAAAAAAAAAAAATACTTTCCAAAAATTAAATTGTGTCAGCAATATTCAGATAGGTAAAATACTCTGCTATAGAAGCAAGTTTATCTGCTAATAGACTAGAAGTCACTCTTATAGTCAAGAACATACATTTGTATTCTAAAATATAAAACCATCTGAGCTCCATGTTGCATTCTATAGCATATGAATAGTAATGCAGCTGCTTACATGTTTTATTAGCTGATCCTCTGTTAAACACAATGATTTAGTCATAGGTTAGTGTGAAACTGGCAACAACTGAACATAATCCAGGATTATTATGGCCTAGACACTATAAGCTGTGTGACCCTGAGAACGTCAGACGACAATGGCATAAACTGATCCCTGACTTCCAAAAAGACAATGCACCTACAGATTAAACCTGACTGCACATTTTTTGTTGGGGTCTGAGGTGACAGGGCTTACTTTACATTATAGTACCGATGTGCTAATTCAGCTTGCTAATTATAGCTGACATGATATGGCCTGGCCTAGTTGGTATTTATGGGTAAACACCCAAAAGACTGCCACCCAATTATGAATAGGGACTTAAAGCATTTTCAGCAGCAGCTGGCCCATCCCACTGATTCCCTCAGTCACTGCAGAGCCTCAGCAAGCCCGGCTCTATGGGAGACACAATATAAGGATAAATGAAGCAACCCAGACTTAGTGGAGGTCCAGTGGGAGAATGCCTGTATCAGTCCATATGCTGGAAGAAATGGTAAACACACACACTAATAGCTCATATAGACTTCACTGAATAAAGAAATGAGGTTTTTCTCAACATGCATATTGTTGAAAAATGTTACATATCAGCAACCACTCAAATGTTCAGCCACAGAAGCACACAACTCCTAAGAATTCAGCCTGGCTCAAGTCTCGATCTCTGCCAGTCCATTTTCCACACTGCAGCCAGAGTGATTTTCCAAATGGAATCATATCAGTTCCCTTGTTAAAACTGCACTACATGTCCAGTTTTTATTAATTTAATACATACATATTGAAAACCATCTATGTGCCAGGCAGTATTCTATGATATTTAACATATCATGTGTGAAACATGGAAAAAAAAAGGCACATCTGGAGGCCAGAGTTACCATTTTACATAGGTTGGTTAAGATGTCACTTCTCTGATTAATCGAGTAACATCTGAGCATAAATGAAGGAAATGAAGGAATATGTTATGTGGTTATCTGGAGAAAAGAATTTAGGCTAAGGAAAATACACCGCAAGTACAAAGAACGTTAGGCAAGAATGTGCCTGGTATGTTTGATGAATAGAAAGGCCAGTGGCTACAGTAGAAAGAACAAATGGACCAGAACAGGACATAAAGTCAGAGTAGTAGTGTGACATCAG